AGCAAATATGGAAAATAAAGTAAAAATAACTACAGATAAAATCAAGTGAGAGGACATTTGCCACATCTCTGAAATTTGTTTATTTAACATATAACAGCCTGTGTGACTCTATATCAATATTTAGGTTTATTATATGACTTTTGTGCTGATTTAAAAAAAAAAATCTTTGTGGAAATAAAGATTAAAAATTCATGAAAATGATAATTTGTCCCGAGACCTATTAACATGCATGTTTAAAGAACAATCTCCATTACACAGAAACCAGCAAATATGAAAAAAGAAACACCGAGTCTAAAACCAGTGGAAAATATTGATACTTATTTAGATATAAGATATTTAAAGAGAAGTATATGGCATTTCTCAATGAATACATACGAGCAGGACTGTAATATCACCAGAGTCTGACATATATGATCATATATACACAGAGACATATATATATATATACTTTTTTGGTCTTTTGGAAAATGTTGTATGTGCTGTATTTAGATCCTTCTAACAAGAAAATTGTTTTGCATGCACACGTATAAAAATTGCGGTTTTTATCCAACGCAATCATAGGTTTGAACGTTGTTTTCAATTTAGACTTGTTTATATTTTTTCGTTTGGGCTTGTATTATATTTGCCGTAGGGTTTATATAATCCGTTCATCCTATTTTGACTCCTCAAAATTCAAGAGTCTATCCTAAATTGAGGTAAATTGTTGGGCTTTCCAAATACCTTTTCGATTCCTAACATCACTGAAGAGACATTATTTGTCGAAATCCGGATATGGTGTACAAAAACCTTTGCACCTTTTGTTTGCGGTATATCATCTTCTCCGCAAGTTTATTGTTTTCTGTTTAGTATTAAATTTAAAATTAAGATCCATTTATTACATCGGTGATCCGTTTATTTGGCAATCGCCAATGGCAGTCAGCAGGGTTTAAGAACATTTGTTGTTCGACCTGTTTGTCAAATGCGTTTTGTTAAAATATACTTTTTCACTTTTTTGGTCTTTTGTAAACTGTTGTTTGTGCTGTATTTAGACCCCTCTAACAAGAAATTTGTTTTACATGCACACGTATAAAAATTGCGGTTTTTATCCAACGCAATCATAGGTTTGAACGTTGTTTTCAATTTAGACTTGTATATATATATATATTTATTTGCACCTCATGTTTGCGGTATACCATCTTTTCCGCAAGTTTATTGTTTTCTTTTTGGTAATAATTTAATAATAAGATCTGTTTTGTTACATCTTGCGATCCGTTTATTTGGCAATCGCCAATGGCAGTCAGCAGGGTTTAAGAACATCAGTTGTTCGACCTGCTAGTCAAATGCGTTTTGTTAAAATATACGTTTTTACTCATTTGGTCTTTTGGAAAATGTTGTTTGTGCTGTATTTAGACCCCTCTAACAAGAAATTTGTTTTGCATGCACACGTATAAAAATTGCGGTTTTTATCCAAAGCAGTCATGTAGGTTTGAACGTTGTTTTCAATTTAGACTTGTTTATATTTTTTCGTTTGGGCTTGTATTATATTTGCCTTCGGGTTTATATGATCCGTTCATCCTATTTCGACTCTTTCAAAATTCAAGAGTCTATCCTAAATTGAGGTTAATTATATGGCCTTCCAAATACCGTTTCGATTCCTAACATCACTGGAGAGACATTAATTGTCGAAATCCGGATATGGTGTACAAATTTTTGCACCTCATGTTTGCGGTATACCATCTTTTCCGCAAGTTTATTGTTTTCTTTTTCTTTTTGGTAATAATTTAATAATAAGATCTGTTTTGTTACATCTTGTGATCCGTTTATTTGGCAATCGCCAATGGCAGTCAGCAGGGTTTAAGAACATCAGTTGTACGACCTGCTAGTCAAATGCGTTTTGTTAAAATATACGTTTTTACTCATTTGGTCTTTTGGAAAATGTTGTTTGTGCTGTATTTAGACCCCTCTAACAAGAGATTTGTTTTGCATGCACACGTATAAAAATTGCGGTTTTTATCCAAAGCAGTCATAGGCATATGGCAAAATCAAAGGTACTTTATTCAAATGATTTGCACCACGTGACTTTGTCCCTTTTGATCAAATTACCTCCCTTAGCTTAAGATTGAAAATATAATTTATTTTAGATTTGCGGATAATCACGTCCTTTTCCGTCATGTATCTAAAACTTATGTATCTTTAAAAACTTCCTTTGGCGGATATTTACAAAAAATGCTGTGTTATTCTAAGGGAAAATGCTTAAAATTTGACTTTTTACGAAATGAGAAGGTTGAAATCATCATTTTTTTAAAAGAATTTGGCCGAAAACTTGAGAAAGCAGGTAAGTTAAAAGTTATTTAACTTTAAAATTCAACCTACAAGGTGTTTCCCTATATGCGAACAAATCATGAACAATATCTTCTTGCATATGTATTTCTGTTTTGAATCTTGCTATTTTACGATTTTCCGTCATTTTATATGATCTTATATAGCAATTATACTATGACTACGCTTCCGATTTTTAAACTAAAAAGGCCGAAAGATTTCAGAGTAGACAATGTCCATTTGTACACGGACAGAAGCCTAAAAACATGTACAATTCACCTATATGCGAACAAATTGTTCATTCGAGATAGGTATTGGCATATTGGCATTTTTATTTAAGGGGCTTATATAATCCTATTGCAATGGCTGCCGTCATGATAAGGCAAAATGGCCGCTATCCAAATTAGCAAATTACCCCAAATTTTGCCATATGGTTTGAACGTTGTTTTCAATTTAGACTTGTATATATATATATATATATATTCCATCTTCATGCCTTATATATCATGTACTGTATTACGACGCTAGATTAAAACTGACGAGGAAAGGTAACACCCGGCCACCGAAAGCATTATTATTGTGAAGCCTAGGTGGTCGAGTGGTCTAGCGCGTCGGATACAGTGCAGGCGATTTGGTGTCACGATATCTCAGTAGCATGAGTTCGAATCCCGGCGAGGGAAGAACAAAAAATTTGCGAAAGCAAATTTACAGATCTAACATTGTTGGGCTGATGTTTAGACGAGTTGTATATATATATATATATACATGCGTATGTATCATGAATATGTCTCTTACTGTCTGCACTCATCCCAGCTCGTCACAAAGTTCCAACTGAATATTTAAATTTACACCATACACGACGATTTACTACCATTGATATTGTTATATTCCTTCACAAAAATTAAAAAAAAATATATACCAGTCAACACACCAAACTTGGTCGTCGTTGTTATATTTTTTTTCAAAGTAATAGTGTGGTTGCTAATTGTACGGTATCGGGTCCGTTCGCCCTGATAACATGTTCGCCCTACGTCCGTTCGCCCTGAGTTCGTTCGCCCTGATAGTCCGTTCGCCCTATATTTATTTAGGAAATGTATATGTTACATTTATAAAAGAAAATATATATTTATTATAATTTACATATATTTATCAAAATTTATGTATATCTATCAAAAGTTAAATACAGAATATTTGCAAAATTTATATTAATTTAATTCTTGGCTGCATTGTTACACTTTTTTTTTAAAATTTATAATTACTTTTAATTCTCTTATCCGGCGTGACGTAGCAGCTTCTTAGATACAGCATCCGCGCATCACTGTAGGTGAAGCTTTTCCATCGACACGCTGATCACCCTGTAACCGAGGGAACTTGTAATTATAGAACATGTTAATCATTGGCAATAAACATTTCTTAACAGGTGACAAAGGGTGAGAAAAGGATAAAAATCTTTTATCTTTGTAAAATGTTAATCTGAATTACCGTAACTAATTAAAATTATTAATTAACAATTGTTCAATACAACATTTTTAGATGATGCATACGTATACTGATATCTATATATATTGAGAAAATGTGATGATTTTGATGAAATCAAAATTGTATTAAAACGTTAACATTTAAAAAATATCTCTTTTATTTATTGATTATTATATGTCATTTAAAAAAAAAAACATTTCGAAAAATTTGGTAATGTCTTTCAAAGTTTTGGTAAAAGCTAATCGTTTACACAACCACTTAAAAGCATATTGTACATTTAGAGAGAACCTTTAAAAACATATACAAGTAATAAATTTTCAATTATGTTTAGATATCATATTTTGACCGATAGATAGATTTAATACAGAAATTATAGAAAACCCGAGAGTTCCACTAAAGTCATGTAACACTAGAATTACTGACTAAACAGTTATGTTGGAAAACAAGACTGAATTCCCGCGTACCTGCACACACTGACTGAAATATAACTCCCTGCATGTCTACACACACTAAAAGGACGATACTCGTTTTACAAGATGTACCTAGTTTCTCTAACCAGTGACTCTCTCTCTCTCTCTCTCTCTCTCTCTCTCTCTCTCTCTCTCTCTCTCTGGAAGTGGATTATAGAACCGCTGCATTTTCCCATAAACTATGGTACAGTACATGTGTATTTCGTGTGACAGAGAGGTCCGACCTCAACATAAATAAATACTCGGCGAAATTGTAGACAGACTTCAACATATTCAAATACATACAGATAACTTAGTCTTCAGTTGTTTTATATTAAATACGTTGTAGTCCTGAAATTCACGAAAACTTGTTCCTGGTAGCAGCTAGACAACAATAATACAACATAATATTCGGCGAAATTGTAGACAGACTTCAACATATTCAAATACATACAGATAACTTAGTCTTCAGTTGTTTTAAATACCGTGTAGTCCTGAAATTCACGGAAACTTATTTCCTGGTAGCAGCAAGACAACCATAATATATACATCATAAATAAATATTCTGCGATATTGCAGATACACTTTAACATATTCAAATATATACACACAATGCAACATAATAAAATAAAAATCAGGGCGAACGGACTCAGGACGAACAGGTATTAGGGCGAACTGTCTCAGGGCGAACAGGTATTAGGGCGAACAGGTACTAGGGCGAACCGAAATCAGGGCGAACGGACCCGGATTCTAATTGTACAACTCATTAAGCGTACTTCCGGTTGAGCGTTATTTATCTTTTGTCAGGGAAAAGTAAATATTCCCTATTTGTAAGTGTAAGCATTTTCTAGATATACATAGATCCAGCCTAAATTAAACCGATTTAAAGCTGACAAATCAAGTGAAAAATGATCTGTTTACACTATTGCGCTTGTTGGCCACGATCATGCCTTGATCATGTACCATAATATCCTACATGTGCTTTCAAAAATAGTTACGAACGTTTAATTTGTGCAGAATAGGGGCATGTAAGGTAACTGCGTCTCTGTATCAATGTGCCTCTTTTTGAAATGACTAAACTAATTGCTGACTGCACTGCACTCACTGTAGTCCAAGCTAGACACTGCAATTTACCCATGAGGGATGGAATGGGCTATTCCAGAAATATTCTGTCCCCCCCCTATGGAAGACATAAGATGTAAAAAAAAAAATCCATGGAAATATTTTTTACCATTACCAAAATTTTCTGGAATTCCAGATTTTAAACGCATTATAAAACTTAAATATACTGGAATTTTTTTCATGATGCTGTCAATTTGTCTGGAAATTTTAGTGTAAAGATTAGAAGCAATACCTATGGAAGACATCGATTTTATTTCTTTTGTCTGGAATTTATCTGTTTTTTTTCTAAATGTGCCAAAAAAACTGGAATTTTATACTTAGTTAGTAACATATATGCAGCCGTAACCAAAAGAAGTGTGTTTAAAAGTTAAGCGCAAACAAATCCCTGACTAGAAGAACTGTTAGCCAATATATGTTTGCCAGTGTATATAAAGTCTTGTCATTGCAGACAAATACACCACTATCCCAGGAGAATTTGGATCCAGCACATACATTTTTTTAACCTTGCTTGCATATATTTTCTAGATATATATATATATATCTGTCCCAAGTCAGAAGCCTATAATTTAAGTGGTTGTCGCTTATTACTGTATTTCATATTTGTTTTTCATTTATTGTTTTGTATATCAATTTGGCCATTAGTTTTTCTCGTCTGTATTGTTTCAAACTGGTCATTTTCAGGCCCATTCTAGCTTACTATGCTGTGTAAGCTTAGGCTCCATGTTGAAGGCTGTACTTATAGGTTTCATATAACAAGTGAGAATTGAAATTATATCGCTTGATTTCAACTGGAGTTATTTAATTTCAATATAATAATAAACTAGCCTGTGGCAAGTTTATTATTAGTAATTAAATAAAATAACAAGAGTTGATATCAAGCGATATCCAATTTTCTCAAGTTGTTAAACCTATTTCTCTTATGGTCAACACTCTCAAAGTGTAAAATTAAAAATATGTAGTTTTACATTATTACAAATTTTTAATGTTAATTAGGTGAAAATGTCTTAAACAATGGGATTAAAAGCACAAACAGCAAGTTAATAGCTGGTAAGAATGCCTATGGGAAAATTAATAGAGAGATAATTGATTTGACCTCTATTGGATACATTTACAACTGTTGTTTTACCACATCAAAAGATTCTGACATATGATTAGTTTCAGACACTTGTGATATAAATAGGCAAGTTGAAAACTCGACCTTCATCTTAATTTCCAGATTTGATCATATATAATGAAGCTTGAAATAGTGACCATGGTGATGTTTTTAGCAGCTCATCCCTACCACTAAATAAATAGTAATTGAAATTGGATTTCCTGTTTGAAAATGCAAATTATTGCTAAAGTTCACTTATGAATGCAATAATCATTCCATAAATATTCAAAGATGAATCCTTAGAAAAATACTGGTGTTTTATGAAATGCTTTTGAAAGAAAACTGAAAAATCCCAATATCTTCATAAAAACTCAAACCACCCAATTTTTAAAGAACAAAGTTGAAAATAGATGTAATGTATCATTCATTACATATTATCATTCTCAAGCATAAAAACTTCAAAAAGTATTCAGGAAATACTGGCATCTTTTTAAAACAGATTCTACAATAGATGCCTGATCCCATAAAAACCTATCAATAGGATTCAAAAGAAATAGAACATTGGTGAATTAGTGAAATGAGCTATAAAATTATTTGTATGAACATCACAGTTCCTACAAAATATTTCACTGTGCAGAACTAATTAATGACCATCATCATGTAAACCACACAAGTAAACTGATATTCTTAGGACAAAATTCTTACCATGAAACACTTAATTCAACATTAAATTTTATTGAAATAGGTTGAAATAGTTAGAAAATCAAAAATTCAAATTCAAATTTAAATTAACAAATCAAAAAACTATAATTATTATTATTATTATTATACAGTATTTATAACAGAGATTTATATAATATTAAAATTACCCTAAGCACTTTACAACATATATCCATTCACATATATAAGTATTAACAATAAAATATGAAAGCCCATGTTATAAAATCCTAAAACAAACAGATTTTAAAAATATTGCATATAAAACTATACTATGAAATTTACTGATAAACAATAAAATTCATATAAAATGGGCATGGTAAAATTACCATAATAATAAATAAAAAAAGATATTAATTTTTTTTTTTAAATTTTAAACAGTAATAAAAAAGAAATAAATGAAAAACAAAAACAAAAGGGGTGGTCTCTGATGAAGGTTTCCCTGTAATTATAAATACAATTCCGGAAAAAACCAAAACATTGCTACATAGCACAGTATCCATGAAAGGCCAGAGATATGATTTGCACCAAAATGTGTGGATATTGTATCAAATTCTATGAAATTATCCCTAATCACAGAAAATGATACTTGGATGTTTAATTTGTACTCTTAATTTATCTTGTCAACTAAAAAATTTGTGTCTTTTTGAATTAAAATGTTGCTTATTAGATTAGTGCTCGCTCTATAAGGCAGAGACCCCCCCTAATTACACGTCTGCATATGACCCTGTTTATCTCTTCAATTTAAATTATTGCAAGATATGTTTTTATCTTTATTTTATTTATATATAAAAATTAATCAAAATTTGTTCAGGGTTCTATTTCTTGATTTACAAGAAAGCTTCTGTCCAAGTTTTGTAAGTTTTGTAAAATTTCACAAAGGTTTGACAAAAGTTATTCAAAATCTTTCACTTACCTAAATGTTGACTGTGAAATAATATTTATTAGTAAATTATCGTAGAATGGATGGAAAACTCAAAATTTTACTCTAAATGTCAGGTATTTATCAAGTATGAAGAAGCTAATCGATCAGTAATATACAGAAGAGATAACAAAAAAAAACCCAACTATTTTTTTCTTAATTGCAATGTTTTTGTCAAGAAGAAACTTCTGTCCTTGTTCTTGAAATTCTATAGTTATCGATGTCTTAATACCTTAACACAATACTATATCTAAATAATAACTTCAAAAATGCCATTTATCTGTAAAATATAAAAAATGAAACAAATACTTTAAAATTTTACTCTTGATCTTGAAGAAGCTATTGATATCATTCCAGGGGCCTTAGTGCCCAAGAGGTCTAAGTATTCTAACTACTGTATATTTAGCCTGTCAACTATGAGGTTTTGAATCCCGCACATGGCAGGTGCCCTCAACTCTAATCATTATTGACTATGATTGTTAGTTTTCCTACCGAATGTCATGGTTCTCTATGGCTTCCTCCACCCAATAAAAACTGACTGCCACAAAATAGCACAATAGTGCTGAAGTGGCATCAACACCAATCATTCAATCAACATATCAATCATTCCATAATGCTTTGACAAAGTTATTTTGAAGTCTAAAAAACCACATTATTGATACCAGGCTTAAAATTGTGAACGCCAGACCAGGGTTTAATCTACAAAAGACTCAACAGTGATGCTCGAATCCAAAAAGTTTAATAAAAGGCCTAATAAATTATGAAGTTGAAGAGCATTGGGGACCCAAAATCCCAAAGAGATTTTGCCAAATACAGCTAAGTTAATCTATTCCTGGAATAAAAAATCCTTAGTTTTTTGAAAATTTCAAAGTTTTGTAAACAATATATGTTAGTGCAAAAAAAACTAAGTCCATTATATCAGTGAAATATTGAAACAGAATAATAATCTCTGGGTGTTGTTTTTGTATAGAAGAAGCGTCTGTCAGTTAAGCAAAATTCCATGAATATTTAACAAAGATATTGACTTAAAATCAAAAAGAAATTAACCCAAAACAAAGGAGTAGGCCCAGTAAGACCCCTTTTTGGCCCCAAAATATAGCTGTTTTACAAAATTGTTAAAATGTAAACTTTCAGCTATTTATTGAAAAGCTAAGAATACTTCTGTTACATAAGTATGGGCTTTTTTTTGACAAAACAATGCACATGTATCGGGTACTAGCATCGTTAAATCATGCAAAATTACTGCAATCTTCACAATTTTACAATTTGAGCTAATTTTTAGACGGTTTCCGTCTAAAATGGAAGTGGCCACATTTGTGTTCAGTCTCAATATTTAGATGTATGTTGTATTTGATGATAATACATAACATATATAAAGGGTTGAGAATGAACACGAATGCGGCCACTTTCATTTTTGACAAAAAACATCTGAAAAGTGACATTTTATGGCATATTTGATAGATTTTTCATATAATAAAGCTTGAATTTTGCCGTCTTTAATGACTTAATCAGCTGAAATCTTTCACATCAACTAAATGAATCGACTGAAGAAGACACTTATGTGTTTAAAAGGTGCCCAAAATCTTTCATCAGATGTACCTGAAATTTGAGGCCAAAATTGGCCCTTACCGGACCTACTCCTTTAAATGTTGATGACACTAGAGAGAAGGATTGCTATGTCTAGCTTGGGGAATTCTAGTTGCAGGCTTGACAAATAGTAAATTGTAAAACAGGATGACTTAAGAATGTCATTTTTTTTGTGTATAGAATTTTTATAAACTTTTTAAATTTCAAAACTCGTGTTAAATTTTAGACATCATTGTTAAGAGAATACATTTTCAGATTATTCAATTGGTAGGAGAACATTGCATTCAATATCATCTAAAGTTTCATTCCAGGACACAATAAAAATATTTTTGAAAATAGGTTAATTCTTCAAACATCAGTCATTTCTTATTATATTTATTTTTCTTATCTTAGTA